GTATTAATGATGATGATAATAGTATTTATATTGCTGATCGTGAAAACCATCGTATCGTTCGATGGCAATCAGGTGCATACAACGGCGAAATAGTTGCAGGTGGAAATGGACGTGGAAGTGCAATACATCAACTGAATTATCCGAAGGATGTTATTCTTGATAAAGGCAAGGACAATATTATTATTTGTGATCAGGGCAACGCACGAATAATACGATCATCTCTTCAAAATAGCCAGAATCAACAGGTATTGATAGTACGTATTGTTTGCTGTAGTTTAGCAATGGATGACAATGAAGATCTTTATATTTCTGATCCGGAAAAGCATCGAGTCATACGTTGGCGACAAGGAGATAAAGAAGGTAAAGTTGTAGCAGGTGGAAATGATAAAGGAAATCGATTTAATCAACTTAATCAACCGAGTTCTATTTTCGTCGATAAATATTATTCAATTTATGTAGCAGATTATATGAATAATCGCGTAATGAAATGGTCGAAAAATGCGACTATAGGTATTCCTGTTACTCATGGACAACTCATTAATGCAAATCTCAGTTCACTTCTTCGACCCAACAGCGTAATTGTTGATCATCTGGGTAATATTTATATGTCGAATGAGAGAAATCATCAAATAACACGTTGGTTACCAGGTACAACAAAAGGTGTTCCTGTCGTTGGTGGAAGAAACGCTGGAAGCAAATCCATGGAGCTCAGTTATCCATTTGATTTATCATTCGATCGACAAAGTAATCTTTATGTCGTCGATGCAGGCAACGATCGAATACAAAAATTTATTATTGATCGTGACTGAAACAAGATTTTGAAGATAAAATGACTTTTAATAAATAATTCTTTTTTTGTCACATTAAACTATTTTTTTTTTCATTAATAACAAATAAAGTTCTTTAAAAATATAAATAATCTTATAACTTATCATTTAACTTGTACACACATTCTTTTCAGATGTCGATAAATTTTATATTTCTACGTAGTAAAACTATTAAATGTACATATTGACAAGAGGGGAAAATGCGGATCCTCATGAATTTCCTTGAGTATACATGATCTGTTAAGCCCGTATACATCTCATCATTTCTATCTGCATATATATTGTATATGAGAATTTATAAGAGGCATATTTCGCAATATGGCGTAATATACTAGAAAATAAAAAAATTCGATGATTTTTATTTCAGAGAAAGTTCATCAAACATCTTTAATCCGTTATATATTCATGACAGAAATAATAAAGTTGGTTATTTAAATATTGATTTTAATTCTAAACTAAATAGACAACAAAGAAAAGTACTGGCAAACAATCTGAATACGTCATAAAAAATTATTTGATAAAAGAACCAATGAAAATGATTAAAAAATCCTATTCACAAAGAGAATAACAATGTATATAATTATTTCTTCTTACTATCTCATCATTTTACTCAGTAAATACTTTTTAAAATCATTATAAAGATATATCGATAAGAAAAATGTTAAGAATTGTTTTTTCTACACTTTAAATCGAAATGGAAATCTTATTGATAAAAAAAATAAGACTTCTAAATATTTACAAAATATTGAGCTTGATTTAAATGCTTTTCAGATACTAAAATATCTGATTAATTTACTTACGATTTGTTTGCTAATGTTGAGACTTCATGTTGAAAAATGACTATATCGATGGTGTACTGCACCCATTTTTGATAGGAATAGGAGTTTTTCAAACGATTGAATATACATTTACAGTCTAAGGACGGAACAAAATTTTATCATTCGAGTTTTTTACTTTGAACCGAAAAAATCTTTTTAATTCAATATGATTTTAGGATTGTCACATTTTTATTCTCACATTGAAATAACTAATAGATTACTCAGTTTCTGTAATTCATTCATATATTTCTTTTGTATAAAATATTTAGAAAAGTTATTTTTTAATAGAATTTATTTTCGAGTTTAATTGACAATAAATAGACAGGCATCTGAAAACGAGATTTGATATTTATTAGTATTGATTTTTGATTATATTTTTAGAAAATTCTTCAACTGATAGCCTATCTGAAATTGTTGTAGCAATAACTGATCGTTTTAGTAAAAGAACTCAAATTTATTTACAAAAATTTCTCAGATAAAAATATATTTTAAATACCAATAAAAGTAGAAGAAACTGAATTACATTGAATATTATATCTTTTTGTTATTTACATAATAAGAATATTAATAAAATCACATTTATTAATTACTATTTCAATATTGCTTGGTGGTGTATGTGTGACTGAGCGAAAACGTTGAATATAATACCCACATCTACATCTATATTCACACTCCTCAAGATTTTTCTTGTTATCTTTTGCAAGAAGAGAAGAAACTCTATAAAGATAAATAATATCATCGTCAATAAAAGAAAAACAAGTATTTCTTACCAACTTGAATGTATAACCTTGTTTATCATTCTTTTAAAAACGAAGATAAAAAAATTTATTTAGTTTCAAATATAAAAGGTGAATTATGTACATACTTATATTTATTTCGAAAAGAAAGAGACTATTACGAGCATATACGTCAAAAAGACAGAATAACAAGTAATTTATAAATAGCCAAAGTCAGTAAGTATTACACAATCTATCTTCTTTTACAATGTTTTTTTTCTTTTGGAGATTAATGTGTGTGAGATAGAGTTTAAATAGATATCCTTGTACGAACTGTTGTACATTTTAACCAAAAAAGTTCTCATAAATTCAAAGTTTTATTTAACTCTTAGGCGAATGTTATAACTTTTCAATGGTTGTAGGTGTCGCAGAAATGTTCATTTTTGTAACTTGTTTTGTTTCTTTGGAAGTTTTCAAAAGAGGAAAAATGAAGTTCAGGGTGTGAGGTGGGTGTGGATATGGATATGGATATTGTATTTACCTGGCACTCACACTCACACCCTTGAGGATGTGGATGTGGAATGATTCAATACCGACATCTAAACCCATACTGTAACCACCTGCAGCTACCTCACATCCACCCACATCCCCAAGATGATTTTAAAAACAAATTTTTATTTTATTTGTAGATTATTTATTGTGCTTGTTATTCGAAAATATTCTTTAATATAAACATGGCTACAGGTGAAAATGTTGACTCGCAACAGTATACACGTGTATCAGATATTGCCAATGAACCGCAAAAGATGTTCATGCCAATTGAAGGATACGAAGAAATGCCAATAGTGCCATTGGAGGAAGCTGTTGCACCACTTCTCTCGATTTTACCTAAAATTCAAACTTATACTTATGTGGCAAAACAACGATGCGAATCTGTATCACCCGATGGTTTAACTCAGGATGAATCAGCTTCAGTCATTCTTTACTCTATGGAATGGGAACCACATGAAAAATGCTTATATTTTGCCCTCAACGCAGCTCTTCGCACTGAAGACAGGAGAAAATTAAAACCATGGTTTTTGTATTTGAAACTTGTTCTTACAGCACTCGAAAAATTACCATCCAGACGGTGCACTGTGTTTCGTGGAGTGAATTTAGATCTAGCGAATCAATATACTAAAGGGAAAACATTTGTGTGGTGGGGATTTTCTTCATGTACAACATCGATAGAAGTACTCGAAAACGAACAGTTTTTAGACAAAACTGGTCAAAGAACACTGTTTACTATCGAATGTGATAGTGGCAAAGATATCAGTCATCATTCGTATTATCAATCGGAACAAGAAGTTCTCCTTCTGGCTGCTCGACAATTTACTGTAGTAGCTTGTCTTCGACCAGCACCAGGTCTTCATATGATTCAACTAAAAGAAACAAAGCCTCCAATTACTCTTTTACAACCAGCCACGAATCAGTCTATGCAGATTAAACCAACACCCGACCTTCATATGATTCAATCAGAAGAAACAAAGCCTTCGATTACTCTTTTACAACCAGCTACAAATCAATCTGTGCAAATTAAACCAACACCGAGTAAGGGGAAAAACTATTTCATCAGCTGAAATATAAAATTTTAAATACAGAATAATTTGATAGAAAATCACTTACTAGTCGTAAAATTATGATTTTAGCTTATTTTTCAAAAAGTGAATTGTCATAAGATCCCTGGTTAAATTCCAGATGTGCTAAAACTTTTGCACATAATTATGGGGTAGTTTTTTCCATAAAGCATCACAATCTCAGAGACAAGGTATAAACACTTGTACGCATATCTAATCGATTATTGTTAGTGTTTTTTCGTTCTCACGGAATTGTAAAACTTCATGGATCTTGAGCAGTACGTTTTAAAACTGTACGAACCAGCTTTTTCGATCTTACTATCCCTAGTCAACTCTCCGCTGACGAATCTTCGAGAAAAAACCCACGAAAACTCTAATGGCGAATCACGACAGGGATTCTCAATAGATTTTTGTAGAAGTCTAAGGGAGTCTCTAGGGCTTTGCCAGGAAATGAAAGGGAACTCATAAAAATGGGAGTGGCAATAAAAGAAACCCACACGCATACTCATTTTAATATGAGCTAAATTGAAATAAATTGTTTATCTTTCTATTATTGTCAAATAAAATGAAGGTGTTTTTTTTATTAAGAATCTTATCAATCAGATCAGTCTACAACTAGTACAGCAATTAAACCAAAAAGTTCAATAACAATAAACCAGTTGTCAACGCAATCTCAAATAAAACAAAGTATGTTTCACTAAATGAAAAATAATAATAATTTTCCCAAAAAAAATAGTTTTACTATTTTTAAAACTAACTTAGAACTTTTTCATAAATTATTGTTATTAGTTAAGTAAAAATTTAAATCAATTTTTCAAAGAATATTATTCTTTTCATAAGAAATAATAATTTCTCTTGAAACAATATTCGTAAAACTATTCATAATTTGGCTCTTTTCTATTTTTACATCACTTAATATAAAATTGAAAGGAGATTTCATTCATCGTTTTTGAATTATTTTCGCCCTTAAAATATCAAGAGTATTGTTAAATGAATGTTTAAAATAAAAATTCTTTTGGAAAGTAACAGTGTTTCATTTAAATTATTTTTTATAAATTGGTTTATATGAATATGAACAAAGTTTAACATCGAAAGTTTTATTTTCTAATTTAAAATAAATATTTTTCACAAATGAAAAGAAACATTTATAAAATTATCCATCAAATTAATCGTTCGAATAGGTTTTCAAAAAAGAAAATAATGTTATAGTAAGAATTGAATATATTAAATGAAAATTAAAATATTATTTTTTTTTTAGAAAATCATTACTTTTTTTGTTTTTTAAAAGATTTATTCTAATATTAAATTTAAATGTAAGCAAATTTCTGAGAATAAATAGAATTTTTAGATTTTTTTTCATTTCAAAAATCTTTTTTAATACTTCAAGGCAAAGATTCTATTGTTTTGAAATTGACGAATAAATTTAAGTTTAATTCTTTAGTTTAAAGTTTTCAATAAAAAGATTTTCCTAAACTAAGCTTTTACGAAAATCAAATAAAAAATTTTTGAATTGAAAAATATCAATTGAATGAAGAAACTATTTGAAATTAATTTTGTTCGTTCAAAAATAAAATTTAATAAAAAGAAAATGTTTTATTTTAGAACAAATTCAAATAAAAAAAAAGAATAAGTTTAGACAATTTGCGATTACTGTTGCTGGAGGAAATGGAAAAGGGCAGAAATTAAACCAACTCTCTGATCCTCATGGGATGTTTATCGATAATGATAAATCAATTTATATCGCTGATTGGTCGAATCATCGTATTGTTAAATGGAAACTGAATTCAAATACTGGTCAAATCATTGCAGGTGGAAATGGACAAGGAAATCAAAATAATCAATTGAATCGTCCAACAGATGTGATTTTTGATAACGAAAATAATTCTTTTATTATTTCTGATCATGGAAACAACCGAGTAATTCGATATTTTGACCAAAATCAAATAAATCATCAAATTCTTGTTTCAAATATTTATTGTGAGTTTCTGACAATCGATAAAAATGGATTTATTTATGTCTCTGATTGTTGGAATCATGAAGTAGGACGATATCAACAAGGAGATGAAAAAGGTGAATTAGTTGCAGGTGGAAATGGTAAAGGAAATCATCTTAATCAACTCAATCAACCTGCTTTTATCTTTATTGATGAAGATTTTTCTCTTTATATATCAGATTTCTATAATCATCGTGTAGTGAAATGGACAAAAGATGCAAAAGAAGGAATTATTGTTGCTGGTGGAAATGGTAATGGGAATAGTCTCAAACAATTGTCGTATCCTTATGGAGTGATTATTGATCATTTGGGTCAAATCTATGTGGCAGATAGTGGAAATGATCGAGTAATGCGTTGGTGTGAAGGAGATAAAGAAGGTGAAATTGTTGTTGGTGGAAATGGTAAAGGAAATCAACCAAATCAATTCAATTTACCCGTAAGTTTATCATTTGATAATGAAGAAAATCTTTATGTTGCTGATAATGAAAATCATCGAATCCAAAAATACGAAAATATTTCAAATGAAACCTTTTTTTGATTTAATTTGATAAAATTTCGATCTTTATTTTTGAGAATAAATAAAAAGATTAATTTATAAAAAATCTTCAACAAAAATAAATGAAAATGAATTAAAAAATTTCCCTTTATAAAATAAATAAATTTGTTTTTCAATTTTAGAAAAAAAAAGTAAATAAATATATGTTAGTTTTAATTCTAAATTAAAAGATCAAAATGAACAAAATAATTCGGGTAGAATTTTTTTTTGAATTAAATCAAATTAAAATATTTCTCAAATTGAGAAAAAGAACTTCTAAATAGAAACAAGTTGTTTTTTATTAGATTTATTTTTGTGATTTTATGATTTATTGAGAGAAAGGGCAGAGAGAAAAGAAAAAAAAATCTGTCAAAATCGAAAAATTAGATTAAGATAATCTTTTTTTTTTAAAGAAAAAATAATTTTTATATTTAAATATTAAAAATAACATAAAATAATTCATTGAGATAAAAATAAAAATTTAGAAATATAAAAATAATATCGAATATGTCTTCTATTCTAATACAACATCTCAGCGTGGTTTCGCATCTAATTCAAAGTCGCATCCTCCTTACCTCATGCCAGAAGCTTTAACCAAACATTACAATCAGCATAAGAATTAAGTTAAAAAACAAGCAGTTTTATTTACGGTGTTTATGAAAACTAGACTACAACAAAAATATCCGCATATATGTATTCACTATCGAAACAAATTTAATATTAACATTTATAGGGTTCGTTCTATTTTTTATTGCGTGTAATATATTCATTAATTCCACGTATGGCGTCGTCTTCAATCGGATTATCTTGGAGATTTAGTGTAGAGAGTGTCTAGATGAGAAAGTGCAGATAAAGATATGAAAGAGATGAAGAAGGAATGATAACTACTGTGTTGTGTCTTAATCCATCAGCCAAATATCGTACTCCAACAACTCCGATATCATTATTCCAGAGATTAAGTGTGATGAGTGTCTAGATGAAAGCGTGTACGCGAAGACATGATATAGTTGAAGAAATAATAAGAATTACTGTGTTATGTTGCAACGCATCAGCCAAATGTTGTGCTCCAACATCTCCGATGTCATTCGATCCAAGATTTAATGTGATGAGTGTCTAGATGAAAAGTTTCAAATAAAGGCATGATATAGATGAATAGAGAATGATAATTACTGTATTGTGGCGAATCGCAACAGCCAAATGTTCTGCTCCAACATCTCCGATTCCATTGCTCTCGAGGACTAGTGTGGTGAGTGTCTCGATGGAACCGTATACGTGGAGATATGGTATAGTTGAAGAGATAATGACAGTTACTCTGTTTTGTGGTAATCCATCAGCGAAATGTTGTGCTCCAACATCTCCGATGTAATTACATCCGAGATTTAATGTGGTGAGTGTCTAGACGAAAAAGTTCAAATAAAGACATGACATAGATGAATAAAGAATGATAATTACCGTATTGTGCCGTAATCCATCAGCCAAATCTTGAGCTCCTACAGCATCGATTTCATTGTAGTCGAGATTAAGTGTGGTGAGTGTCTAGATGGAGCCATGTAGGTGAAAATACGGTATAGTTGAATAGATAATGAGAATTACTGTGTTGTAGTGTAACGCAGCAGCAAAATGCTCTGCTCCTACAACGCTGATTAGATTGTTGTGGAGACCTAGTGTGGTGAGTGTCTAGATGAGGAGATGTGAGTAAAGACAGAATATAGATGAAGAGAGAATAATAGCTACTGTGTTGTATCGTAACACATTAGCCAAATGTTGCGCTCCAACATCTTCGATTTGATTCGATTCGAGATCTAATGTGATGAGTGTCTAGCCGAAAAAGTCCAAATAAAGACATGGCATAGATGAATAGAAAATGATAATTACCGTGTTGCGTCGTAACCCATCAGCCAAAGATTTGGCTCCAAGATTTCTGATTCGATTTCTCGCGAGATTAAGTGTGGTGAGTGTCTATATGGAACCGTGTAGGTGAAAACACGGTATAGTTGAATAGATCATGAGAATTACTGTGTTGTGGCGTAACGCAATAGCCAAATGTTCTGCTCCCTCAATTCCGATTTGATTACCTTTGAGATTTAATGCAATGAGTTTCTAGATAAAAAGATGCGAGTAAAGACATAATATAGATGAAGAGAGAATAATAGCTACTGTGTTGTATCGTAACACCTTAGCCAAAGGTATTGCTTCCCAAAATTCGATTTGATTATTTTGGAGATCTAGTATAGTAAGTGTCTAGAGAAAAAAATGTAGATAAACGATATAGTACAGATGAAAGGAGAGAAGTGTCGGTCGCGGTTGTCTCAGGTCAGACTAGTGTAATAAATGTAACGTGACTAGGTTGAAGGCTGTACCTATATTAGTTTGAATATTACTACGATTGTTACGTAAAATAGGTTAATCAATAGACTGTTACTAAGGTTGCCGCATAGATAGAAGTTTTTTAATCTATGAGCTGTGAAAATTCTTAAGTATTTTTGGAACAATGAAAAACTTCTGGTAAAGGATTAATACGATGAAATTTGATTTTTCAAAAAGAATTGTGAAGTGTAAGATTATGTACCCGAAGCGCAATTAATTGAAAGTAATAGTTTAAAGTATAATATAGTATAGCATATCGCTTCCTAGTATTCTTTAGATATGGCAAAGGGTGGTTTCTTGTGAGTGGGGTGTGGACGGGTTCCATAGATAGCCATAATATGACTCAATCTGTGTTTTGTATCAGAATTTCATGTGAGTTATCTAACAGGGCTGTATATATGCGAATGATTTATCCTCGAAAATTCGTTGTTGAGAAAGTGTAGTTCAGTTGAAATGTATTTCAAAACAATGATTGTGGAAGAACATGAGCTATAGTAGTAATATGGTTTGAAGCAGTGTTCCACCTTGATGTAATGAGTGAGAGTGATGTGATCGGATGAAAATGTGGATATTGTTGTGGATCAATCTTCTCTCCATGCACATCCACAGTCGCTTATATCTTCTAACAAACACGTGTCTCGATACAGGGAAAAGACAACAACAATTTTTTCTCCCCTTTTCTGTTTTTGTCTCAAGACTGTATTTTTATGGCAGTATACCCGGCTTGAGATGTGGAATATTTAGATGAGATTGAAAAGAAAGAAAAAAAGAGACTATTTTATCTCGACTATAAAGGCATTATTTTCATATTATTACAATTCAAGAAAGAAAAAGTTTACCTGGTAACGATGATAACTGTCTAAGATCCTGTTCAACCGTTGACATACATCCTTCATTGAGCATATCATTGTAAAATCGGATTGATAATCCAAAATTCGGTAGACAAGTTCTACCGGTAAAGTAATAAAGTTGACGACAGTGTGATTTACCATTGCAGACTTGTGATGAAATGCGTGCTGTATCGTTCTATATGTTGAATGTATAATGTGTTGTTTTTTTCTTCACATAAAATGAATATATATATTCATCATGTGTCATATATTTTATATGATGTTACAATTACCTGTAGGAAGAAAAAGAATAAAAATTAAAGATGTCGTTTTCAATGAAAGAATTACAACAGGAACTACAATAAATGTTTTTATTATGATTATTTTAGCTATATAAAATGATATATAATAAGCATGACTATTATATAAAGCTGAACAGAGTTTATTCTCAAGAAACATAATGAGATAAGCTCATTAATTTGATCTGTTGTTGAAAAAATTTGGTTGGAATATTGAGAATGTTTTGCTTCGATTATTTATATGATTTAATTATACATAGGGTAGTCAAAAAGTTTTGCAACTTCGCTATATTTATTC